TACTCTGATTTCACCAAGGAAATTGTCAGAGCCTGTAATGTAGTTGACAAAAGTGAAAAGGCAGAATCTGTGAAGTATGCAAATTCCAAGCTGCTTAGACAAATTGCCATGGATGATCTAATGACCAAATTTCAGTCCTGGGAGCAAGAGATGTGCATCATGCATGTGAACAACTGAACAGACTAATGAAGGTACACTCTGGTCTCGTTGGCATATCACGGAATGCAAATGCAAGACAGCGTTTTTTTCTGGCAGCACCTGAGTTGTCACGCTTAGCAAATGAGTTCAAAAGTCAGTTTGATTTTGAAGCAGCTAAAGTCAAGGAGCATCATGACCTTGCACCAGGTGTTATCCAGCGGGACCATATTGCAGTTGACAAAATCAAGAATGCTATCCTGAGTCATGGGAATCCTTTTACTGTTGAAGGGGACAAGCTGCAGAATCTGATAACATGCATGTATTCAAGATCAGTATGTCTCTCAGATACTCAAAATAGACGAGACCGGGCAAAAGTTGTATGAAGAATATGTGGCAGAAAGAATCAATGGAACAGTCAGCCTATGGGCTCCAGTGAAGAAGGAAAACAACCATCTCTTCATGTCTGACAGCAAGAAACAAACAGTGAAACTTCGAGACAAGATTGTGGACCTGAAAGAAACAAAGGACTTGTATGGACGGCTGATGATTTTAGCCAGATCAAGCCGCGATATTGACCTGAAACATGCTATAGGGAACTATGAATTCACACTGACACCAAGAGCCTTCTTTTCCCCGGATGGCATGTTGTTACAATGTACAGACAAGTCAAAACTCATCAGTTGCCTTGAGGAACTGGGTAAAAGTCATATGATCAGTGATCCAGAAATGGCCCCTCAACTTGACCAAATTGACTCTGCAGTGTATAGGATTGCTGTAGTTGATGGTATGGTTCTTCTTCAGAAGATGACACAGTTACCTCCTGCAGTGGAGACAGTAAAGGATCTAAGTCATTGCTTCAATAACCGACTGATGAGCCTTACAAGAGAATTTGATGACGTCATTCTTGTGTTTGATACCTATAAACCTGATTCACTTAAATGGTCAACAAGGGGAAAAAGACGTCATGGCAAGGACCCAGTCCAGTACCAAATAACTGATGAAACAAGAATCAAGCACATCACATTGAAGCGATTCTTATCTCATGACCAAACCAAGGATGACCTTGCAGAGTACCTAGCAACAAAGACCATGGAGTACAACAAGGATTCATCAAAGCTCTTCATCACCTCAGCATCGGGTAACACAAGAAGTAACAGCAGCATCAACTTTGAGTCAAACAACCATGAAGAGGCTGACACACTGATGATCTACCAAGCCATCTGTGCATCTCAGCGAAAGACATCTATCTGCATGGCATCAGGTGAAGTACAAATACAGCCTATATGGAAATCACTTGGGGTTGAAAAAGCGAAGGCTCTGTCAGCCTTCCATGCCTTTTCTGGAGCTGATAACACAGGTAGATTTTCTCGCATTGGGAAGACAACTTGGTTTAAGACGTTTCTAAGAGCCACTGAAGACACTGTTGAAGCTTTGCAGCTGCTGTGTTGTAGAGAAGATCTTGATGAAGAAACCTTTTCAACATTAGCTAGATTTGTATGTGCTGTGTGTTGTCCAAAAACAATCACCTTGAATGAAATTCCTGAACTCAGATGGTATCTCTTTTGTAAGGACATGGCTGAAAGTGATAGGCTCCCTCCAACACTTGGTGCCTTGAAACAGCACATTCACAGAGTTCAGATGCAGGCATGGGTATGGGCTCAAGTTCATGTTGCCAAACAAGTCTTCTTGGACCCAATGAGATACGGGTTTCATAGGGATAAGGATGCTCAGCTTAGACAAGTCACCACATATGTTCTGCCAGCTCCCCAGGCTATTCTCGAGATGGTTCGATGCCAGTGCAAGACAGACTGTTCAACTCAGCGGTGTACATGCAAATCAAAGGACTTACCATGTACTGAACTTTGTCAATGCAGTAATCAGTGTGAGAATGAAGAGTCTCAAGTGGAGGAAACAGTACCTGATGATAACTTTGATGAACTGCTGTAAATATATCTTATGATGGGTGTGAAAGACCTCTCCTTTCGGTGACATTGTGGATATTTACTTTCATCATTAATGACAACTTTTCGATTGGAGATATGATTACATGTCTGAAATGGAAATCACGATGATATTGATGACTTGCTCTAAATGGTGTTGTGTATTTTGTGCTTATACTGTCTGAATATTCTGAGGATAGACATTAACCTATCAATTCTGTGACATTGTGGAAATTCATCTTCAACCTGTTCCTACGCTTACACCACTGATCAACAAGTTAGTAGTTTCATTGATTTTTAACAGCTAATGTGGTTATCATAACATTCATAATATTCTTGTTTTATACAGAGCAAAATAAGTATAACAATATACAAGTGTCTGAGAGTTCAGTGTATAGATATATATCACAAATAGCTGATATGAAATATGTAAGGTTTAAATTTTGTATATAATAACACATTTCCCCTTCATGTATACACAGTAACAGTGTCTTTGATACTGGGGTGTATACAAGTAATCCTTAACAGCATAAAAGCTTCAAATATATACTGAAAATAGAACCAGAATTGTACTTAAAAGTGAAAAAAAGGGTGGCACATTATTGAATGTGGAGGCCATTTTGAAATCCAAGATGGCCACCAATGGGACGATGGGAAAAATTGGAAACATTGTTTTTTACATCAAGTGTAGTGAGTGGTTTAAGAAAATGTATACTGTTGCTAATCTCCAATTTCTTTGAACGAAAATACATAATACAATGGACTATAAGGAAAAATTAGTATTTTGGCATTTGATTTCTCATAAACAAAATCCTTAGAACAGCACTTCAAATTTTAACTGACATGTAACATCAATACAAGATTTATACAAACCTTTTTTCTTTTAGGTCGATATCGATAGGACCATTTCATCATTCTCCAGTTTCCAAATGTACAGAATATTTGTCACTACTTACAATTGTTGAGCACTAAAGATGTCAGTCTGTGAAGCATTATCTTTAAACCTCTTCACTTACAACATTTAGTAAATTTCACAATTCTCTTTTCAGTTAGCATATTCCCTCTCTGTTCAGTGCACACCTTGACACCCACACAAGAAATAACACTGAAATCCTGAAAGCAGTGCTGGTTTCTGCCAATTTCTATAAGAGAGGGAGGTCAGGTGCAGAGAGTCCCTTTTATTCATGAGAAAATATTAGGGTATCAATGTCAAGCTGGGGGTCTACTTTCACTGAAAAAGCTTTGTTACGCTCTATTTTAGCCACTTACAATCTACTTTAGAATGACCATACTAGCGACTGCTTTTCCACTGGCAATCTTAGCTAAGAACAATACCTTGTGTGGAGGCTTGTATTGAAGATCACAATCTTCAACTGTGGAGTTGCTTAAATATGTTGGTATTGTTCTAGACTGGGCTCCATGTACTCACAAAAGCAGTCAGCTGCCATAGCATTCACACAGCAAAAGCACTTAACTCATATAAGAAACTGTGAGCAAACAAAATACTGCCAAAATATCTGACATAAACATATATCATAAATTTAATTAAATATGTATAATATATGATTTGCACTAATTCAGAATAACTGGGGTCACATGTTGAGAATTTGTAGAGAAAATAACAACATATCTTAGTGATGTTTTGTTCACAAGGAAACAAGCAATTCAAACATAAATATTAATACTGAAATCCTACACAATTATGGCTTATGCAATCGTCAAAATAGGTGACCCTATATAACATTTAAATTAGTCTTTAGATTCCAACATTAAGAGTATTTGTACTAATGTGGCACCATCATCAATGGAGTACTGGACGTATAATCTAATGGAAAATGACCACAGCTCTGTGGACAAAGGTGGGAAAATCCTCACTTCTTTTCTGTGTATGCTGGGGGCAGTTGAGTAGCCTTGTGGTTAAAGTGTTCGCTCGTCATGCTGAACCCCATTTCTGGTGTCCCCCATAATGATATTGCTGGAATATTGCTACAAGCGGCTCAAAACCATACTCACTCACTCACTCAGTGTATGCTAGGTTACCGGTAGTACTTGGTTGGGAAGTCACATTGTGATAGTTAAGTTTAAGCAGTTAATCTACTTATTTTACTTGTGGCGTATTGCAGTTGTACTTGGAGCGGAGGAAGGGAGCATCTTCCCTGATGATGTATTTCTTAAAACATAAATATGCCCAGTTTCAATATCTATAAATAAGAGTTATGCTGGATAGCCACATATACTGAGAAAATTGTAGCAACCACATTTTTAACTATACCATATATAGGAATCTCTAATGCAAGTTTTTGGTACCTTGAATCAGGAAGGTACAAGAGGCAACATTACACCATTGTTTCTCTAGGATTCATATCACTGTATAGACCTCTCTGTTCAGTATATTTCGATTCAATACACAAAGAGCATACAAAACAAGAGAAACAAGAATGTTTGCCTAACAAATATATTTCTTTGGTAACAAAAATACGCAAATGATAGTTCGACAATCCCTGACTAGAAACAACAGTTATCTACCCAGGATTGTAAAATTTCATATTCTTCACTGAATGATAGAAGAGTGGACAGTGGCACCAAAACAATAAGGCAGAGGAAGAAGAAGAAGCCGTGCCTGTCATAAGGTGTAGTGTCAGCTAAGTATAAAAACAAAGTATATTATATCCACAAAGCTAATGTTTTACCTTACCTGATGCTACACAGTGCTTTATTCAAGTCACATGGGCTTACCAAAATACACACTAGTCCCACTGAGGAAACACTGCATATACGTCAGGTAGGGATGCCTCCGGTAGTATTCCGGTAGCAGCCGCATCAGGGCAGTTATTCATTGAAATTTACTGATCCATTTAACATAGAAAATGTCATCTGTTTTCAGAACATAAGCCTGCATTCGTGTAAGAATGCTCTTCTTACCTTAGACCACTTTGAGTTTAGACTTCTAGCTTTTTGGGCATCTTCAAGACTTCTTTGATACTGGTTTACTTTGAGAAATGCAGCTGACCGATTTGTGTACAGGATGTGATTGTTGCTGTCCAGTTGGATGGCTTCTGAATAAAGCTGAATGGCATGATGGTAGTCTCCATTGTTGACAGCTTCATTACTTTCCCTTATTTTTTGCAAGAAAAGGGCCTGGTTATTTGGGCTGTCTCGACCAACAGTATCCATTTCTCCCCCACCAAATGCACCAACAGCGGACTGCAATAAAGGATTAGAAATCATGTCCATAGCAGGTTGATGACTGTAACAATTAAATATGTAACAAACAGGTCTATGTTATCATCTACTTCTAGTATGAATGCATGAGAAGAACACAACCTCATGATCATGTGTGGATACAGGAGTCCCATGTGGAGTTATTTGTGGCTATTATCTGTCATAAAAAAAACACAGGAAAATTATTACAATTATTAATCTTTCATATTTATCGTGTCTATGTTACTTATCCTGCATTACATAGTGCATTCTTTTTACTTCCTGAAAACAATGTCTGGAAACATCATCCCAAGAGAAAGAACCTGTTCTTGAACAAAGTTCAAACTGCCTGCCCGAACACATCCCACCTACAGAGGATACAAGAAGGGAGGCAGTGCCATCCTGGAATGTAGGATTGTAACATATAATACAGCAAATGTATTTATGGAAAGATACTGAAATCCATTAGAAATCCATTAATACAATGTTTTGTCTCCCTGATAAATGAAGAAAAGAACTTGTCCCTACTGACATTAACATTGTCAACAGTAGAGGACGTTATCTGTACATGAGACGGTCTTCCGTTGCACCTACAAGTGACTACCTGAGGGGGGGTCACTCATTCGCGTGACTGCCTGACCACGGACAGGGAAATTCTGCATGTCACACAAAAACATCTCTAACAGTGTTATTTATGAAAATAATGGAACACAATTTGGTAGTCGTTAATAGTTATTCAAGTTATCGAATGACATTAATGAAAATGTACAAATCAAAATCAAATGGTCAAATTTTGACAAAAATGTGCAAAATTGAAGCAAAATTTGATGGTTTTTAACAGTGAATTTCATCCATGAGCATATTTTTCAGAAACTAAAATAACATTCTCTGAAAGCCCTTCATCATAGATTCAAAATATATATGCAGTTTTTGAGGCACACGAACGCACACCTGTTTGTTATTAACAAAACTGAGGATATAATACCAATTTTTTTATCGGGACTATATTATTTGTAGGAAATAAAATCATCAGAAAGCATGACGGAGAGAGGGTGTCACTTCCATGATGTAACAACAAACACGTCTGAGAGTTCATAGTTTTCAGTTTGCTGTCATAGTAGTCGATTTTGACGATAATTTTCACCTTTGTGCAAATTTCACTGAAACATGATTTTAACATTTTCTGAAAGCCTTTCCCATGCCACTGAAACTTTCCTCCCACTGTTCATCACAGACAAACAAACCATTCCCGCAGCCCCGTAACGCGTATGGGAGACACCTCTCAGAAACAAGTGCATGACTGTTTGAGAGAGGGGTTACTTGTATACATGCCTGCCTGTCAATGGACCATAGATTTCAGAATGTAGCACACAAATGTCTCTACGTAAAATTTATAAAACCAAAAAACACAATAAAACCTGAACATACATTGACATCGACAAGTATATACTTATTTGCTACCAAATGGTATACACTATGAAATATATTTAAACTCCCAGTCATTTTTTAAGAAAATTAAACGGAATGTGACCAAAAGTAGTCATTTTTAATGACAATTTTTTCTGTGTGCAAATTTCACAGAAACATGATTTTCATATTTTCTGAAAGTTTATTCAACTGACATTTAAATCCTGTAAATACTGTTTCTGGCACAAGAGCGCACATAGGTGTGCCATCGAGATGAAAAGTTTACTTTATTTGAACTAAGTGTTACATTTTGTAGTAAGGTACTCAATATGGGAGGCAGCTCTTGAAGGCTTAAGAATGAACCTTACTACACCAAGAGTTATCTCCCCTGATGGCAGAAGTGAAAGAAAGCTGGTTCCATATGATTTTGGAAGGTGTGTTACTGATGCAAAAGAGTTAGACTTGCAGAATACAAGGTTCATCCTTCGTAATCTCTTTAGAGCAAATGACGAAAGTGTGCAATTCGTGATTGAGAAAACTCTTTACGCTTGGGTATCCATCCATCCATTTGTATAGCGTCAATACAGATTAAAATTAGTTTTCAGCGTTCGGGTGATCCTGACAGTCAGGCTGGTAAGGCTGTCACCAGCTCAGGACCCTTGTCCCCTCCACACGCAGCCCAGACAGTGAAAGGGACTTCTCCCAGGAAACGCTGCCGAGTCTGTTATTATCATTAGTATCCAGCTCAGCTGCTTTAAGGCACTTTGGTTTTCATTGATCATTGGATGTCAATCTCAACCGCACATCATATTTTCAATCTCAACTCACTGGGGATCATACAAATCTTGCAGCCATTTAGGTGCACCAAGTTAAAGTGGCTTTCCCATCCTTACAAGGTACCCATTCACAGCTGGGTTGACTGGGGCACATAGTCACAGTACTTTGTCCAATGTTTACTGCACATTGCTGTACGCGGAACTACGTGTTTGCACATATTCAAGTGGCCACCATCTGGTCATATACCAACGGATTCGTGCACAGGGTTCTGTCCTGTACATTAGGGGTTGTGAGGGAGTGAGTGAGTGAGTATGGTTTTACGCCGCTTTAAGCATATTCCAGCAATATCACGGCGGGGACTAGGGATTGTGACAACACTGAAAGAATCTGCATACAAAGTTGACTCCAAGGTTTTTACATCTGGTCACAGGTGGGCTTTTAATAAGTATCTGCATAGTATTCTGAACTTTTTTTGTTATGTGGTGCACGTTAAAATTAACAATGCTTGATTCATTGAGGCCACCAAATCTTCTGTGTTCCTCACAATTTGAACGACATGGTATTGTGCTTTAAGAGTGTATTTTTCCCTTGACTCAAAATGACATTTCAGATGAAGGAATATGATATCTGAACAAACTGAATCAAAGTAAGATCACAGAACTCCTATTCTCAAATCCGTATGATGGCGTCCTATTGCATCTTGTGTTGATTTCAAGCTGCTCTGACACATCATGCACCCCATCCAGAACTCTTCCATCCCAGAACCAGTTCCTGCTATCAGACCCTAAGGTCTCCATAGCTTCTTTTCAGATTGCATTTCTTACATGAAGATCTATGTCTCCAGAAGTTTCTACCTGTCACAGTCAATATTAAACAATCTGATTCTCTGACAACATTTAAATCTTGCTTGAAAACTTATCTTTTCAAAACAACCATGTATATTTGGTACATTATCCTCTGGTATTATTGTAGTGCCTTGAGCATGCACAAGTGCGTGGATCATACAGGCGCATCATAAATGTCCATTAATAATAAATATTATGTACCATTTACGATTCTGCTAAAAACCAGGTGACTTTAACCTTTATCACTAACACTAACTTGCAGGTAGAACAGCCAGGTAATCAACAAGTGGGTGCAGTGAAATTTCACAGCTTGCACACCTGGCTGTTCTACCAGCAAGTGGTCCTCTCTCCTAAGAAATAGTGACAACAAAATAATGACCATTTGTTAAACAACTTTTTATTCGGGTGTCCAAAATTATGAGACAAATCATCAGAGTTGGTCTGTCAATTTCATGTGACTGTGCAAAATTTGGTTTTGTTGCAATTATTAGATTTTGTGTTAGTGAGCAATTCATCGGTCTCAAATGAAGTCAAACGGACTATAAATAACAGTCAGTACATAAAATTTGACATCCAATAAAGATTTTTATGCTTTTATAACACAACATGCAAGACGAATCAGTCATGTTATGTAATATACATTGCTTTTCACAACTGTTTGCATAACTGAACAAGTAACTTCTGAACGCAGTGTTGACATGCAAAAGACTGAATGGGTAGGCAGGGTTACATGCGGTTAGTTGATCTTATGCTGATTATTGCTCATGTTGATTTCTTTCTAACTTGCTTTGCATTTTAGCTCAGAGTTACTTTTCGGATATTCATTGAAAAACAAACACTATTAAAATCTGTTATGTTTGTTAATGCACTAAAAATATTTTAAAAAACATGTATTTCTCTGCATTACAAATTTCACATCTTTAAAGATGGAACATAAATTTCCTGGAATCTTTAAGATAAATTCAATCATGACTTGGAACAAGCTTGTAGTGCTTATGAATTGTAAATTTAATGACACAGACAAAACCAACCTTGTGAAATATATTGTTAATGCAAACAAGTGCTCCAAAATTTTTGCTATTACAGAAAACGGTGGGTTATGTTGAATATTTGGAGGAAATATAACACAAATAAAATCAGTATGACATTTTTGGTGTTGTGTGCAAATATGACAAACATAGAATGATTGTTACCAATGAATAAAGAATAAATATTTGATTCTACTACATAAATCATGTTCAGAAGTTGTCTTTTGCCAGTTCATATTGGCGACATGCTGATCAAGGTACTGTTTCAGTCAGCACCAAAAATGATTACCAACACTGAATTCTATAAATGACTTATTCAGATAAAATTCTGCTTTTTAAGACATACAGTTGCAGAAAATTCATTATAAATATTTTTTTCCACATTTTGCAAAGGAATATTTTTGTTAAAGAACAAATAAACTTTAACCATTACATATGAAAGATTTGTGGTTAGTCTTATGCGGACCACCAAATTCATTCTTAAAAAATGTGTGGTTAATTAATACCGAGCAAATAAAAGTTGCCCAAAAGTCGCCTGCTTCACTCTCGCCCGCAACGAAACCACAGACAGGATATGTAACTCTGTCGCCAGAGCACTGCAGTGACGTCATGTGAGGAAGGGTTAGTTGTATATAAAGTGTGTAGCAAGCTCGTCATTTTGATGATTTCTCGACATCAACGAAGACATGCCGAATCGTTGCGTTGTCGTCAATTGCTCCTAGGGGTCAGGCGATGGTGTCACCATGCACAGATTTCCACAGGACCCCGCAGTTCATGCTAAATCGGTTATGTTTGTGAGTGCGAAGGGAGCATTGTGGATGCCTGGAACGATATCTTACTTGTGTTCAGTAGGGCTTCCACAGGTACTCAAGTACTCGAGGACGAGTCAGGTTTAGCTGGACTCAAGTCCATTTTCTAGGACTCAAAGACTTGAAAAGGGGAGATA